CAAGCACACAGACAAACACAACACATCGATACATGTGGCTCGAAAAGGAAAACATGGGCATAGAAGTTCTAGGGCACAGCCTGAATAAGCCCATGCACAGCACACATTAAGACTGAACAAGCCGAAGCTCGCAGCACGAAAGAAGCAGCTAGGAAACAGCAGCCAGCACACATTAAGACTGAACAAGCCAGAGCTGGCAGCACGACAGAAACAGCTAGAAAATAGCGGCAAGCTGGCAGCACGAAAGAAACAGCTAGAAAATAGCGGCAAGTTTTGCCATGGCTCCGAAAAAGCGGCCTGCTGCTGCTGCTGCTGTGAAGGAGGAGCCGTCAACACTGCCCAAAAAGCAGAAGCAGCCTGCAAAGGCAGTCTCTCCGGTCGCGAAGTCGCCAGCAAAGCCTGCAAAGGCAGAGGTCGTAGAGCCACCCAAGCCTGCAAAGGCGACGGCTGCAAAGGCACCAAGTCCGGCACCGCCGCCGACTGGCACCGGAGCAAAGGCAAAAGAGCCTGCAAAGGCCGGGGCAGCTGGTAAGCAGCAAAGCTACCCGGCACCTTCCAAGGAAGCATGGAAGGACATGCGGTACCAGCTGCAAAGCCTGAGCAAGGCGGGAAAGGCTGCCCACCTCCACACGAGGTGGGCACAGCAGAAGACACAGTCCGAAAAAAGGACCAGCACGAAGGAGGTGCACAAGGAAAGCTTGCAAAAGCAGAGCGAGCTGGAAAGGCGAGTCGAAGGGTGGATGACAGAGTGGGAGGTGGGGAAGCTCGAAGGAGCAGATCCCACTCTTCCCAACTTTGAGAGCCTGTGCAAGGCAGCAGTGGTCGGCCTGGCGAGCAGGGACCACGAGGTGGAAGCCTGGGCAAGGGAGGGGGGTGAAGCAGTACTGGTACAGCAAGGAATTGCATAAGGACCCAGAGGAAGAAGTCGAGCCAGACCAAGACAAAGGAAACAGTGGGCCAGCTCGAAGACGAGCCGTTCCGGCAGGTCGAAGAGGCCTTGAAGGTGCAGGAGCAGCAGCCGAAGCAGCTCATGCTTGGG